GAGATTCACGTATCAAGCCTCTATCTTTTAGTTGACTAATCTCCTGTTTCACAAATTCTCTTATGCTAGGGGCCATACGATACGCGTTTTGTTTGATCGGCCTCGCATCATCAGTGTCGATTTCGTGATGAACTTCATCCGTGCGTCCTAATTCTTGAATGGATCCTGCGAACACATCACTTTCTTGCCGTAAAAGTATTTTTGTTTCTTCTCGTTGCGTTGCATTCATTTCTTCATTAACACTTATTTCTTCAATTTTCTTTCGGATGGACTCTTCTTTACTTTCATCATCAATGGTGGGTAATTCTTCCAATCGCACTAGAAATACGGGACAACTACGTTCGTTTTCGGCATTGTCATCATCGGATTGCTCCTCAGATTGAGTTGCCGGGCACAAACAGTTGCGTTCGCCCTCGTCTTCCGTACTTTCAAGTGATCTTCCTATCGTTTCGCTTTGGTTATTATCACCGTCCTCCGTTTGCGCTAAATAGGTTGCCGGGTTTTCATCATTTGTTTGTAACTTTGGGGATTCTCCTTCCCTGATAATTTCTTCGGTGAAGTATCCCTCGGCTTCCTCTACTTCTTCGTTCTCATATTGTAGGGCATCTATTAGCTTGTTCCTCTCGTCATTATCATCCGTATCGTTGTCACTTTCTTCTTTTTGGTGGCTCGGTTCTACATCGTCTTCGCTTTTAACCATCGGGATTTCGATTACCTTGCCTTGGTGCTGGAAGGTAACTTTCCGTTTGTTAAAACAAATGCTTGCTTGTACTCGCTCTAACCAATCTCTTCCCAATAATAGAGTTTCTTCATTCGAATCGATTACTTGCAATGGGCAGGGAACAGAGATGTCACGAACAGTGATCTCCAGACTATTGATACGACCTAATGTTCTTGTTCTGGTGCCCGTGATCGAAATAATCATCATCGTTGATTTTCCTTCTATTTTTAAACCCAGTCGTTTCATAAGCGGTTTTGACATGAAGCTCACGGCAGCTCCTGTGTCGGCAGTAGCCATTATTACTACTCCTTTGATCTTTACTTTGCATCTCGTAGCATTCGTTCTTCTTTCTACTTTCACGTGATTAACCTCTTGTTCCAAGTAGGGTCTTTTTAGTGCGGCGGCCAAATTCCTTTGTTGTTCGGGAATACTTAGCATTTGGCCAAGCGTTACGTTAGCCGGCATCGCAAATAGATCTTCTACAATATTGTATTTCGGGTGAGATTCTATTTGGGATGGACCCTTCTTTCTTCGTGGTCGTTTCAGCTTCGTTGGAGGTGACAATACTGGTACTGATGGTGTCGCCTCTTCCATTTCCTCATCTTCGTCTTCCATCTGTATCGGTGGCTTCATCTGTACGATAGGTTGTGGAACTGGTACGGTTTGTGCGATAGGCTGCGGTCGCGATTCTATCTGAACAATAGGGTATACTTCCGGCTTCTCTTTTTCTTTTCCTTTTTCTTCTGTCTTTCTTCGACTTCTTAAATGACCTTCCCATGTAGATTCGCTTCGGGGTTGAGATCTTTGTGGTCTTCTAGCGTAAGGTGATTCTTCTTCTTCGTCAGACGCTTGGTACGCTTCTACTATTTCTCCAAAACGAGCTTCTGTGGGTCGTTCAGTACTAGATCCCGCGGTAGATGCAACAGGCCGTCGTGCCAATGGACAGTCTCGCGCGAAATGTCCTTTCTCTCCACACGTATAGCATTCGTTTGTCCGTGGCTTGGGTTTGGAATTATTACCTCCGGTCTGATTCATCATAATACTAACAAGTTGATTCATTTGTTGGGTCAGTGCCTCTACATTCTTTTCTAATTTCGTATTTTCTTTTTCCTTTCCTTTTTCGACTCTTCTTCCTTTCTTCTCATATTGCTTTCCTACTTCAATTTCTTTTGCC